GCTGCAAGGCAGCGCCATCTCTTCGCATTATAGGTAAACCCACAATGTCAGATGAATACTTTTACAAGTATTAAACATTTGAAAGAAGAAATAGCAATTATAGTTATAATTTTTATTATTTTTAAAGCATGTAACTGCTTGATGTTTTAAATCTAAAGAAAATAAAAATTATAACTATAATTGCTATTTCTTCTTTCAAATGTTTAATACTTGTAAAAGTATTCATCTGACATTGTGGGTTTACCTATAATGCGAAGAGATGGCGCTGCCTTGCAGCTTAAGAATAGCTAGAAGGAATTTCGACGCGGTCCGTGAGGGCCGCGGTAGCATAATTGGTCAGTGCATTCGCCCGGATTGCGAAGGGTGCGGGTTCGAGTCCCGTCTGCTGCCTGGTCCGCGTGGAATTTTTTCTAGTTATATTTTCTTTAGATATCTATAGTTTATAAATTTATGTGCTGTATTAATATGTTTTAAAACTTTTAATAAATATGTAACATATATCCTTTTTTTTAATTGAAAGTGTCATATAATCATGGAATTATTAACCTCATCATCATCATCAGCCTATTAATGTCCCCACTGCTGGGGCACAGGCCTTCCCTATGGATGGAATAGGGAGATTGGGCCATGACCCACCACGCGGGCCCAGTGCGGATTGGTGGGTGCTAACGACTGCAAATGCAGCCGGGACCAACGGCTTAACGTGCCCTCCGAAGCACGGAGGAGCTCGAGATAGTAAATTTTTGGTCACCCATCCAATGACCGACCACTGCGAAAGTTGCTTAACTTCAACGATCGCAGCCGAACGCGCTAGCCACCTGCGCCATCGAGCTCCTCATACTCAAATTGCTTTTATTAAATTTTTTCCTTTCATATTTTATTAACCTCATAGTAAAATGAAAACAAAGTCCTTTACATCTTAACCAAATTATAACTACCTTATGTATAACTAAGAACTTAAATAATATACAATTTACAAAATAAAAAATATATGACCCCCAGCGCCGCCGTCAGGAATGGTGCCCAATAGGCTGGCAGCATTTCCACGTTGGATAGCGAAGCTAATCCGTTGGCCGAAGTAGCTGCCAGCCTTTTGATCACCGGTCACCTCGGTGAGTCTCTTAGACAATTCCTTAAAGAAGGAACAAGCGCTTGGACCCCATGGTCCCATGGTCTCCACACCAAACGGCACAAATATGTAGCTCTTATTGAGAGCTGAATATTTGCGCCGCTTGGAGCACTCGGCGGAGGCCGCCGCCGCGCCTGCAGCCAGGGAGGTACTACTTGTATGGCACGGAGCAAGCGTATCCACGCATGTTGCGTCCCACACAAGAGGACAACCCTGCTTCCAGGGAATGAGCGTCATTCCGTCAGGTCTCTTGCCATCGTCTCGGAAGATGCCGCTGGGCTCTAGGGCCGCTGGCACATTGACTGCGAAAAGAGCTCTGCGGATGACGTCATTGATGCGTGACGGGAGACTCGACCAGCGCTGATTTGGCATGAGAGACCATGGCGTGGGACACTCACCGACGCGAGTTCCGCAACGACAACGATGGGGGTGATTGGTCTTGAGGCCGAGTCTGAGTGAAATTGCTAGTGATAGAGTGCTTCTGTCAAGCAGAGTCCCGATATTGGCTGAAGGAAGAGCTTGCAGCCAGTAACCAGACTCTACTTGAAAGACCGCTAGGAGGCGAGCACGCTCAGCTGCTTTTTCAGAGGAAGCTAAAAGATCACTCTGAAGACGCAAACAGAGTGGCTCGTCCCATTGCCTCTGTGAAAATAAGGAGGAAGGTAGATCTACTCCCAGGCATGCCCTGCACCAAGCATTCCTGTCCTCTGCAAGGTGAGCCAGCTCCACTACGCCTAAAGAAGGACATAGTATTTTATTAAAAAGCTCGGCTGTACCATTTGCAGAAGACAGAAAAGCGGGAAGGGCAATATGTGAAATATGGCGAGTACCAAGTCCTCCGAAACGAACAGGGAGAGAGGCCTGCTTCCAGGCGTTATCAGAAAATGAACAATTTAGAATTTTCGAAAGTGTATCCCTGAGAGAACTGTCAATAGATGACAGTAGCCCCGGAAAAAGCCAAAAATGAGTACTACGTAAAAAATATATGAATTTTGGGGCAAAAGCGCAAAAACGTATTAAATACAAAGCCATGTGAGGATTAATTTTTAACATTTTTTCGGAGGACTGCTGAAATTTAGAAATTTGTTCATCAATAAAAGTCGGAATAGCATCGTCAAATATGGGAGACCCTAGTAGACGGAGTGATTTATTATCTAGAATTTTAATATTAGGAGCTAAAGCCGAAAATTCGGTAATAATGTGTTGTAACTGATCCTGTGAAAATTTTGATTCTGGAATAAATAGTTCGCATTTTGAATAATTTAGATCAAGGCCTATTTTTTTAAAATCAATAATTATGTGAAAATCTGAAAGAACTGTTGAAATATCGCCAGTGATAGTTCGTTCCTACATCAAGGTACCACACATTAAAATTTGAATTTAGCGAATCAATAATAGGTAGTATTGCCAAACTAAAGATAGCGGGCCCGAGAGGATTGCCTTGCTGACAGCCAACAGATGAATTCAACAGGTTGTTTTTAAAAATAAGTTTAGTCAGTTCGCTGTAGCATTGCCAAAGATAATATAAATAGTGGGAGTTTTTTCTTCAATTACTGTAAGCAAGGCACCTCTATCTACGGAGTTGAAGGCATTCTTGACATCCACCTTCAGCACCACCTCCTTATTTTATTTTATATATATCCTTATTTTCTTTTATATTAATGTAGTAGTTTTATATTTTAGGTAAAGTTTTACTTGTTTTTTCAACCCTTTAGTTAGCCATTTTATTTTAAACGCTCGATTTTTCATTTTAACTCTTATTATTGGGAAACATAAATCATAGAGAAAGAAAGAAATAATTCATAAAAAATATTAAATGCTTCTCTTGCATCGTTTGAATCTAAAACCTCTATAAACGATAAAGCCGCTATGTGTTTGCAAAACTTAATTATATTTTTTTGACTATACTCTCTCTTATGTTCAAACCAAGTTGAAAAAGACTTTTTCGACACAGATATATTAGTTTTTATTTTTAAAATTTGTGCGGTCTCGTGATCCGAAAGCCCTATATAACATAAATATGAAAGAGAATAAGAGCAAGTTATCTTTATTACAATGTAAATAGTGTTATTTTTGTCTGTCGACTAATCGGCAATTTGAAAACCGATCAGTCGGTTAGTCGGCAAATACATAGTCGGCCCATCTCTACTTACAACCTCATAAACAACCAAACATCATAAATAAAGAATCAGGAATAGACGAAGACGTGGCTTAAAAGACCAGCATCCAAGCCATAAAATTATAAAAAAAAACAAACATCATAATATACAATTTATGGAAAGTTAATTTAAGCTTTTGGATATAAAATAACTGGAATGGGCTTTAACAACTTTAAAACAAGAAAATGCCTTACTTAATACTCATTAAAAAGTTAAATTAAAGAGTACCCAGATCAGCCGTACGTAATGACATAAAATCAAAAGTATACCTTAATACATTAAAGTAAGTTTCAATCTCGGAAATATGACAAATCTTGAAAAACTTTGCTATCTTATATTTGATAGTAGTAGATAGATAAATGCACAACCTTTATTTATGTAGGTACGAAGTTGTAATAGTTATTGATGATATTAATGCGATATGTTGGTAATACAAAGGAGTAGACAAATGTTAACTCACGACAAAGTCCACTTACCATAGTCTAAGCTTACCATAGTCACGGGTTTTTAAATTCTAATTCCGCAAGAATGTCTTACAAGGTTTTTCAATATATATTTGTGAGAAAACAGTGCAGGTATACCTAATTTATATAATGAAGCACACTTTTTCTATTAAGAAAATGCCTTTCCAAATGGTGCCTGCGGCTTGTGGGTGGTAAAATAAAAATTAGAACTACCTATTTCAAAATTAGATTAAGAATCTTCATGGACTCACAAATGTTAAAACGGCCTTCATAACTTTTTTGAATAATGTTATTTATATTTATTTTTTTATTTATTTATTTAATCTTTATTGCCTTTACACAGCAAATGGCGGACTTAATGCCAATATGGCATTCTCTACCAGTCAACCGGAAAGAACATACAGAGCTATAAAAAACGGCAGAATCAAAGAAGAGACATTAAAATCAAACAATAAGCAAATATACTAACACTTTACTATACATACGACCGTACTTATATAAATATACACACAAACACTATAAATAAATAAATATATATATACATACACATATGTATATATATATATATATATATATATATATATATATATATATATATTTATTTATTTATATATATATATTTATTCTAGAAGTAGCAGCTACTACAACATATGAAATAACTACGTACTAGTTTGTAGATGCTGTAAGTTCTAGTCTTAGGAGTTACAGCTGTGAGTTGATTGATATTCGATTGGTCAAAAAGTTCCTAAAGACTGATATTTATTTATATACCTATACATACATAGAAGATTTCACCTATCTAAGTGTCGCCGCACACGGGCCACCGACCACAATCACAAAACGCCGCCACCGGCATATTTTTTGTAGTTTTTCATACATTTTATAGGGACACACGCGGTACGCCGGTGGCAACCACATGCTACAAATCGTCGTTGCTCGCTTCTTGTGGCCCGCACCGGCCACTTAATGCGCCGATACACAACACCGCCACATGCCACTCGCGCGATTCCCCACCCCTCTCTCCCTTACCTTAGTCGGCCGCTGTCGCGCGCTTAGGCGCTTCTAGCTTCTCGTTGCGGCGTTTGTGGCTGTGGCGTGTGGCCCGTGTGCGGCGAGACAAATTTGATGATACCAGCATCTTTCGTCGTATTATATGAAGATCAATGCTTATGGAGCTTAGAGCATTTACGACATGGAGTGACATATTGACATCATGCATGGACTTTATTTTTAGTCTGTACTCCGTCTCCGTCTGTATTTTCTGATAATCTTGTTAATCTGTATTTTCTGCACCGTCCGTGTTTCTGGTTTGTGTTTGTGTTGTGCTGCAACAAGAATCTTAGTAAAAAATTGTCACCGTTCAAAGCAGACTGCTCGTGATAATTTTGATTTCAAATTAGAAAAATATCGAGAGAATACATAATCGCTGTGTGCTGCTTTAAAGCTGATGAAAGAAAGAGGTAAGTGAAATTACTGTATGACTCTTGTTTTATTTATTTTTAAGTTATTTGATTAATTAATGAAGGTAGGTTTAAACAAAATAGTCGTTATTTATTAATCAACTTGCGAACATGACTGCAATAAGGAAAAATGATTAGATTAATTTGTTATTATTTATAGAATGTGTGGTTCATCCATTATTCCTTGTTTTGCCAATAAGAATTTTTTGGTGGCAGTTTAACTAATTACTTTTATTTTAAGGATTATAATTAATATAAAAAATAATCTTATTTTATTACCACGACATTAAAAAAGATTGGATAACAACAGAATTGCGATAATAATGATATTTATAAATGTTTATTTGAAACATTTATTAGGGTTCCGTATAAAGGAAAAAAAGGAACCCTTATAGGATCACCTTGTTGTCCATCCGTCCGTCTGTCAAGACCGTTTTTCTCAGGAACGCGTGGAGGTATCAAACTGAAATTTATATCTAATGCTCAGGTGTACTGTCCCTTGGAGCTGTGAAAAAATCAAACTTCTAAGCCAAAGCAATCAAAAGATACAGCCGTTTATGTCGCAAATTTTCGAAACTCGCACGGGAAGTAAAACCTACAGGGTACTTCCCGTGATCTTAGAATCTTATAATTTGGTACGAAGTAACGTCTTATAGTACAGATAAAGGAAAAATTGCGAAAACCGTAAATTTTTAGTTACATCATAATAAAAAATCTTTTTGAAAATTTTAATGTTACTACCTCTTCTCATGACCGCGTCGAGGTATTAAATTGAGTTTGTACGGAACCCTTGGTCAGGGCCGTCTTTTATCTATTGGAGGCCCAGCCCCTCTAGCATGACCACCGAAACGGGATATGAGAGATATATCGACATTAACTGTCAGACTACTGTCAAACTCCATAGTAGTCTGACAGTTAATGTCGATATATCGCTTTATCATATCCCGTTTCTGTGGTCATGCTAGAGGGGCTGGGCATATTAGGATAATGGGACTTTGACCCCTATGACTTTGATGTGGATTATGACTTGAAATGGAGCAAGTCATACTGATGATTTTTCTTTAAAATGTGTATGTGCTTAGTATACCATAATTTATCTAAGCATGCTGAAGTCGGAAAGCCTAATTTTTGGGCGAGAGTAGAATAGCTTCGCTTATGTAAAAGCTAGTAAGTTGGTATTGTAGTCAGTAATTAAGGTTCGATTTCATCGAATTCTTTAAGTTTTTTGGTAATAAATATCGGTTATCGTTTGGTGATCTAACAGGAACTAGGGACTTTGTATTTGATCTGGGGGCCCCCTATCGATCGTGGGGCCCTGGGCACTTGCCCAAAGTGCCCACTGGGAAAGAGGGGTCTGCCCTTGGTTCCCGAGTCCGATTCTCACTAGACCGGTTTTTTAACTGTATATTCAATCACGCTAGTATAGAGCGCTTTCCGGAACTCTTGTGTCACTTTACTAAAATCTGCTTAATTAAATATCTGTTTCGTTATCTGAAATAAATAGCTTTATCGGAGCTCTAATGGAATACAAAAATAAAAACAAATAACTACACTAAAACTAAAACAAAACATCCAATCAAAAAAACTTTATAAAATACTAGCGGCCCGCCTTCGCTTCGGTGTAGAGCTGAAGCGTAGACTACAGTTTTTGTTCTCAGGCTTTTATTATACACAATGACATTCATCTATGATCCTGCAAAGTCTCAGCCCGATCGGTTTAAAATTGACGAAAGTTTCATACAAACTTGCATTCCCTATTTTATCCCCTTGGGGGTAGAATTGATCAAAATCCTTTCGAAGCGGATGCCTACGTCATAACATCTACCTGCATGCCAAATTTCAGCCCGATACGTCCAGTGGTAGGCTGTGCGTAGGTAGGGGATTGGGTCAACACAGCGGGCGTGCGAGTGATACCATGACCAAGGATGGAAAATGACCTCGTCGGACACGCGGAATATGGTTGCTCGCTTCTTCACTACTGTGTGCGTACACCTTATCATTTTGTTTGTTGTAGCACTCTTCTACAGTAAAAATTTTTTCATCCGAAAAAAGAATTTCCCGATATTTTTTTCCCGCGTACCGCTTCAACAAAGCGCGGCATCTTTTCAGTCTCAGGTCCATTAGACGAGCATTCAAACGATGTCCTGTTTTTCTTCGATATGCCTGAAGCCCTAAGTCTTCATTTAACACCCTTTTCAATGTGGTTCTACTTAACCCCATCTGAAGGGCCAACAGTTTCTGTTTGCGTTTGGGATTTTTTGAATTCGCGCCTTCACAGCTTTTATCACTGCTGGAGTCCTAACAGACCGAGGGCGACCACTTCTTGACCTGTCATCTACACTAGAGTCTTCATTGTATCGTTTGATGGTACGATATACGAATCATTTGGTTATATTCAAATTTTTCAGGATGTGAAAAATTTGAATTGGCGCGTAACCGCAACGATGCAACGCAATAACTGCAACAAGGTCTTCTTTAAGCGTCCACTCCATATTTAAAAATGAGTAAAATTCTAAAAAGTATACATTTTTATTTTCATGAAAAATTCGAAATTCGAATTCAATAAACTTTTTTGTGGCCAGCATTCTAAAAGAAAAGTTTTTACTGTGTGACAATACTTATGACCTGACTGTGTATATACCCTTATAGGATCACTTTGTGTGTGTGTGAGTTGTCGTTCAACTTATCTTTATATATATAATTCTTCTGTGAGTGTGTATGTCACTGAACTTCTCTTAAACGACTGGACCGATTTTGATGAAATTTTTTGTGTGTGTTCAAGGGGATCTGAGAATGGTTTAGATTCACAATTTTGTCCGCTGGACAACCCCTATTTTTTTAGGGCGGTACGAAGTTCGCTGGGTCAGCTAGTCTATAATATAAAAATTAATCGCTGAATGTGTTGCTATTGCTAAGCGCAAATCTCGAGAACAGCTGAACCGATTTCGATAATCCTTTTTTTAGAATATTCCTTGAAGTACAAGGATGGTTCTTACGCAGAGAAAAATTAAAAAAAATGCCTGAAAAAGTTCAAAAACAACAATTTACTATACTTCCAAACAAACGATTCGTTATAATACTTAAAAGTCAATTTGAACTTTAATACCATACCATAAATTTCAAATGCTAGTGGCGTGGTTCCGGGAAGGCAAAACAATTGAGTGACGTGATGTCAATAGAAGTTTGGAAAAGGCAAATATACCATTTTCAGTTTTTTTTATTATTTAATGAAGAGGCATTTTAGTCTACACTACAGCTCTACACTGAAGCGAAACGAGGGTGGGCCACTAGTATATTATAAAATCTCTGTCCTAATAAAAAATCCTTATAAGAAATCATTAAAAGTGACTAAGACGAAGTAATTGCTTAAAATATAGTCACGTTTAAATCTAAAGAAAAGTTTACTAGAAAAAAATCCACGCGAATCAGGCAGCGGACGGGACTCGAACCCGCACCCTTCGCAATCCGGGCGAATGCACTGACCATTATGCTACCACGGCCCTATTCGCAGCGTCTAATTTTCCTAGCCTTAAGCTGCAAGGCAGCGCCATCTCTTCGCATTATAGGTAACCCACAATGGCAAATGAATACTTTTTCAAGTATTAAACATTTGAAAGAAGAAATAGCGCTGCCTTGCAGCTTAAGGCTAGGAAAATTTCGACGCGGCGAATAGGGCCGTGGTAGCATAATGGTCAGTGCATTCGCCCGGATTGCGAAGGGTGCGGGTCTTAGGCAGTACTCTATAATCCGACAAATTCGATAGTTCGACACTGCCCTGCAAAATGTTTGTCGGACTACCGGGGATCCACTGTAATTAAAAAAAACTACACTGTTATCAAAACATCGATCAAAGACACAACGAACTACAAGTACTTTTATATTATTTTACTTGCTGCTACGGAACCCTTCATGTCCGAGTCCGACTCGCACTTGACCCATTTTTTAGATATAAAAATCCAAGGTACATATTGAACTGATGTGTTGTTTACAAAGTAGATCTAGGTCAAAATAGACAGATTATCTTCAGTTTCTAGTGATTTGATTGACATTATTGTATCAGTAAAACAACATTATTGTGTAAGAAAACGGTACTTAGGATAATACTTAAGTTCTTACTTCTACAAATTATCGGCAGAACACTTTTCTTTGTCGAGCAAGAAGCAGCTTCAATTCACTATCAAAACAGGTAAATTTAGATCTTTTTAATACTAGCCAGGCGTCGATTAGACGTATTAAGCCAGAAACGTATTAACGTATCGTGGCGTGACGTGGCGCATCGGTTTCATACATTTATTATGGGTTACAGAGAGATAGAGAGGTTAAAGCGTCGACACGACACGATACGTAAATATGTCTCTAACCATAGTAAATGTATGAAACCGATGTGCTTCTGGCGCGCCACGACACGACACGACACGTTAATATGTTTCTGGCTTTATTGCTCGTCTGTTTTTTACCCGACTGCGCAATGCAAGAGCGCGACGCGCAGACGGTATAGTGTTTACCAGTCTATATATGTCTCGTGTCACAATGTTAGTTACCATACTCCTCCGAAACGGCCTGACCGTTTTTTATGAAATTTTATATGCATATTCCGTGGGTCTGAGAATCGGCTACTCAGGGGCGAACTAACAGGGGGGCGGAAGGGGCAGCCCGCCCCGGGCCTCCGATCTTGGGGGCCCCCCAAATGCCTACGCGTTCCCCTGATCAAATGTTGAACAAGACTTTAAAAATGTATTAGTAGTATGTAGGTTTATTTTTATCAAGATCAAAGCACTACAGCCATCTAGTCTTTTTACGCGGTACTAATATTCTTTTAACTGAACGCGTCCAATACGCTGGGGGAAATCCCGTTTTTGTAGCTTTTTGTAATTCACTCTTGTACGCCTACATTTACATTCACTACATTATATTTACGTCGAAAAATAAACATCGGCCTCATTTAAAATATAGGTATTTTTATCTTTATAGTTTATTAGTGCGTTCCGAGAACGGATAAG